GTGATATTCAACTATAGAGAAGAAAATATATCTATTCAGATTTGTTTCCTAATTTATGAGTACATAATAAATTTAAATTTCTATTTTAAATCAGATAAATTACAAATACTTCATATAATAAACTAATTACAATAAAATAATTCTTATGTAAAAAAAGAACACATGAGCTTTTTTTAAAAAGTTGTGATCTTTCTTGGACAAAGTATATCTAAAATAATGATTTCTTCACTGAGGACATATGACTTAGAATTGATCAGGAATGACACAAAACTGTAGAATAGTTTACACAGCAGAATACAGTTATTGCAAGGGTCATCATGTATTTTGGGGGGATTTTATGTTTTTATAAAAACACATTCATAAATGCCTAAAACATTATTTTCCCCATTTCAATCCCCAGACTACTTCCTTCCCTCCACTCCTTGCTCCTGGAGTCCCTTAACTCTACTCTATTGATCTTCCTTGTATTAATTTATTTTTAATTGTTGCATTCTAGTTAAATGTAAAAGTGGAATTCACTGTGGTATATTCATAAATGCAAATAACAGAATTTGGTCAATTTCATTCTGTAGTTCCTCCCCTTTCACATCCCTCCTCCTTCCCCCTCAATCCCCCTCTTCTACTCTACTGTTCCTCTTTCTATTTTTGAGATCCATTTCTCAAACCCTGACTTTCTTATTCTAGCTTATTTCACTCAGTGTGATGTTCTCCACATTAACGAGCATGGTGTGTTTGTAGTTGATGACAGATAAGTATAAGTATCCACACTTTTTATTGTTATTTCATACTACTTCATTCGTTTTCATTTAGATAAACCACATCCTGAACCTAGAATAGGTTGAATTAACTAACTTGGGGGTTTGGTTTTTTTGTTGTTTTTTTTTTTTTTTGTATTTTTGGTATCAAGGATTGAACTCAAGGGCACTCAGACACTGAGCCACATCCCCAGCCCTATTTTGTGTTTTACTTATTGTCAGGGTCTCACTGAGTTTCTCAGTGCATCGCTGTTGCTGAGGCTGGCTTTGAACTTATGATCCTCCTGATTCAGGCTCCCAAGCCGTTGAGATTACAGTCATGAGCCACTGAACCTGGCAAATTATCTAATTTGTAACATCACAATTCCCTTTTTTCTTTCAGAAACAACCTGAATACTTTAAGCTACAAGAGTAACTTTGAATTTCCCCTGCTGCATTGTATCACTTAATTGTTAAATTTCTCAAATTTAGTTGGCATTCAGTGTTTGTAAAAACACTTTGTCAATAGCAATTTATACTTATTATGTAAAACAAAAGCATAGGAACATAGTGCTTTAAAATATTTAAAATTAGGGAAAGAGAACACTGAAAAATTGAAGGATTCAACTATAATCAAAGTTGTAAAATTGCTATGGAAAATATTCACTAAATGTAATTTAAATACAGGGTAAAAACAAAAGGTGTGAAGGCTGAACAGCATATATTCTTACATGAGTCACTGAATGTTTTAGTTTTAAAGCAGCAAATTCAAACACGTAACTGAGAATAGTAAATGTTGTGTTTCCAATGTTTGACCTAATGACAGAGAATGTTTGGGGAGAAAATTACTAAGTAATAAAGGTCAGCTGCTATTGATGCAGCAAAACCCTCTTTTAAAAATATCTAAAGCTAGGTAAATTACAGGAGAATGTGTTTTTGTGATGAGCTAATAAATAGAGTAGAAGCAAGATCGTTGAGAATGAGATAGGTTTTTGTATAAATGCAAACTACAGAAATATCTCTATAATGTTATTACTTTGTTCTATATAAATATTTGTCCTTAAGTTATTTTTTATACTCTCTGAAATAATTCTGCCAATAAAACTAGTCTTCAGATGTATTAGCAAGAAAATAGATCAGTGACACCTGTAATCCTAGTGGCTCAGGAGGCTGAGACAGGAGGATCAAAAGTTCAAAGCTAGCCTCAACAAGGCCCCGAGCAATTCAATGAGACCATGTCTCTAAATAAAAAAAAAAATATCAAAAGGGGGCTGGGGATGTAACTCAGAGGTTAAGCACCCTTGGTTTCAATCCCCAGTACCAAAAAGAAAGAAAATAGACTGGTGAGTGATACACATGACAACTAACATGGGCCTGGCACCTATATTATTTGCTAGATTGTTAAGTTATCTTGGTGTAGATGGTTAAACACTTCCTTCTGACTGGACCTGTGCAAACCAACAACAAATTAAAATCATTTTCCATATCCATATGCCATTCTTAATCATGGGAATTTTTAATTAAAAAAGTAAATTTGAAGAGAGTTTCAGCCTAAACCATATTTATACAATCTTAAGTAGCTATTTTGATTTCCTGAAAAGGTAAAGCGAATTGTATTAGCAGAGTTCTACAGTGACCTTTTTTAAGCAAGCAAACAGAAACGCTGCTTTTTGGTCTTCCCATCATTTCATAAAAGAAAGGAAGTAAGATATTCCTGCATATACACCATATAAACCACAAACTATAGCTGAATTTAAGATGGAAAATTCAACACTTATATAGATAAATGCTTCATCCCAGAAGAGGCATAGCAGGAAAGTGGATTTCTGTATGTCTATCATTGGGTTAGTGATAGAGGTTCAGAAATTTAAAAGATTATCAGTGAGAGGAAAGTGTAAGCTATTAATCATAAGCAAGGTGAAACCCATGAAGGTAAATGATTCAGGAAAAAGAGTGATTAGTATTCCTTCAATTCCTATTCTTTAATGCAAAGTTCATTTACCAAATTGGATGTATGTCAGATTTTAATGAAATAAGTACTTCAAATAATTATAAACAGAAATATATATACAGACCCCAAAACATTTTGAATTAATGAATGACACACCTGAATTGATTAGAAAGGAGAAAGTTACACATTTCACCATGCATTTCTATGCATTTAATGCAGGATTACAGAGAATACCTCACCCATCATTTTTACTAGAATCAAAACTAGAAACCTAAATATTTTATGCCTGAGTGGCAATTTTTACACTGATATGTACCAATACCTTTTTGAGAACTGCAGCTTTTATACAAAAGTTGCTGTCCTTTAAAAATAGTCTCCCTCCCATTTTTCCCCATGTATTTTATGCCAGATACTATATGTAAGTATTTTCCATACACTATTTCTTCAAATACTGCCAACAATCCTGTGAGCATTATTCTACTACAGATGAGAAAACTTCAAGGTTAATTTGCCCAATTCATTCAGCTAGGAAATGACAGTCCGAATTTGAGCAAGCTAAAGCTCTTTATTTTTGTTTGCAGTGCTGGGGAGTGAACCCAGGGCCTTACACAACCCCCCCTTTTTTTTCCTGAGGTGCTGCGGATTGAACCCAGGTCCTTGTGCATGCAAGGTTAAGCAAACACTTTACCACTAAACCATACACTCAGCCCCAAAGCTTGAGCTCTTAACTCCACATCATGCTACCATAAACTTTAAAAAATATATATGCCCTGATAAAAAAGAAAATTTAGGCTTCTCTTGAAGGATGTAACTTTAATTTATCTTATTATATATACTTAACAGAGTCATAGACATTTAAATTTCAGAAGAGACTTTCTTAATCAAGGCCAACATCTCTATTTTATAGACGAGTAATTTTAGAAGTGTTCCACCAGTAAAAGTATGGTGCCTGAAATAGTATCTACTTAACAGAAATATACTACATTGAAAAATATTGAATTAACTGGAAATTCATACTAAATTGAGGGAAATATCCTTATAAATGAAAAACAGTGTCATGGTCCTCATTCCTTGCTACAATGGAGTGCAATTGTGGGAATGAGGTAGTTATAGGAAAAGCTGTTGCTATATAGAAGGAGATATCAGGAAATTCTCAGTCCTGTAAAGTGGCTTATAGTAAGTATAAGACAGCCATCAGAAGTTTAAGTTTCTAGGGAGATGATCAAAACCAATGTTGTATTTGTTGAGAAAAGATTGCTGTAGGAATTATGCACATGTTTATTTTTTGACCAAAAAATTTTCCCATTTTTCCATGGGAAAATACTTGTTTGTTTATTCATTTACTTATGGGAATCTGAAACCATGAAATTTATTATTCGATGCATAGAGGATTTATACATAAATTTTATGACAATTCTAGTGAATTTTTTATTTCAAGTGTATGAAGTCATAGTGCAATTAGCATTAGGACACTAGGATTGGTATGAATTAAAAAAATCACTTCAGTGAATTAAGGGAGTTAATTCCTCAGAAAAAATAATATCAAATAATAATTTTACTATTGAGGCACGTTTAGATCACTATTCAAAGGGGTCTCTCTCCCTTTCTCTCTCTCTCTCTCTCTCTCTCTCTCTCTCTCTCTCTCTCTCTCTCTCTCCCCCATATAGAAAGATAAATAGATAGGGAAAATTCCATAGGCTTGGATACATCATTTGCTTTGGTAACTCATGAACCCATAGAAAGAAGATAGACATATTTACCTATGTTTGCATATGCCAATGGAAAAATATGTTGGCATTTGAAAGAACCATTAGGGAAGAACCTAATTTTCCTGCAGAAATGTAGAATCTAACCAATATTATTAAATCATCATATTTTGCCCCTTTAATGCTGTGACATTTCATTTAAAATGGGGCTGGGATTGTGGCACAGCAGTAGAGTGCTCACCTAATACGTGCATGGTCCTGGGTTCAATCCTCAGCACCACATATAAATAAATAAATAAAATAAAGATATTGTGTCCAACTACAACTAAAAAAAATATGTAAAAAAAAAACAAGAGATTTCTTAATCTTCTAAGAAACAAACATAGAACATTCTCTAATTGCTGAACTTAAAATCAGTGTCTTAATTCAATCTCAGTCACTTATATATTATCTTTAACAAGTCATTTTACCTTTCTAGACTTGATTTAAATGCAAACTAAGATTTTTTACTAGGTGGTTACTGGAACCCTATTGTGTGTTACAGCATTAAATGCTTCAATGATTGTTGAAAGAAATATGAACTCTCTGCTTTTTTTCTTTTTCCCCTAGTGCTTTCCAAGCTACCCATGCAAGAATCAAGAATTTCTATTTTGCTGCTGAGTGCTCAGATGAGATGAATTAGTAAGTGATTTTTACTCATTTATCAATTCAATATATATTTATTGAACCTCAATTATGTGGTAGTACCATATATATCCAGAAAAAACAATGACTTTTTTTTGAAAAAGTAAAATTATTTTATCTTAATCCTAATTCAGTTTAGTGTACTGAGAAGAGCTATATTAACTGATAGAAGGCCAGCATGCTGGAATGTGGAGATAAAGGAGCAGCATGATATGAGATGAGGCTACAGAGGCAGGTATCATCCAGACTTTAAAGTCCATATAAACTATCAAGTTAAGGATTTTAGTCTATTTCAAGTCCACAATCAGCAAGTAAAACTTGCTTAGAAAGAGGTAATTATATCAAGGCATAAATTGAAAAAAGGAGCAAAGGGAATGTGTAGAGATAGGAATAAAGGCTTACTTGGGATAGAATAGTGACAATAAAAGGGGAAAAAGTAGATTTATTCAAGATACCTTTAGGAAGTAAAACCACACCCTTGGCTATAGCAATTGACTGAGAGAAGTTTCAAAGATTATTACTAGGATTCTGGTTTGTGTATCATGATAAATTTCATTGTAATTTTCAATGAGATAGCAAGCACTGGACAAATATCATGTTTCTGGGACAAGAATGTAATTTTGGTCCATGGACATGCAGAGTTTGGGCTCCCTTTGAGACATCCTGTGGAGTTTTAATTAGGCAGGTCCTCTGATTCTAGAGCTTAGATAGAAGGAATGAAGTAGAGATTTAATATGGAAATCATCAGTATTTATATGGTACTTAAAGCCATAGACGTAAACTGAGAAGAATTAGGACTAGTTCTAAAACTTGAGTGTGCAGCTGGGCACGGAAGGGCATGCCTGTAACACCAGCAGTTAAGGAGGCTAAGACAGGAGGATCATGAATTCAAAGCCAGCCTCACAAAAAGTGAGGCACTAAGCAACTCAGTGAGACCTTGTCTCTAAATAAAATATAAAACAGGGCTGGAGATGTGGCTCAGTGGTTGAGTGCCCCTGAGTTCAATCTCTATACGGAAAAA